CGGCTGAGCTCTGACGCTCACCGTGCGGCGTTTTCCTGGAAGCCCCGCTGCCTGCGGGGGCCGAGTAATGAGAGCCGCGTTAGCTGCTTTTTTGAAAGGCACCTGTAGTTACTGGAAATGTCCCTCCTGAAGGCACCAGGAGAGAAGGACAAGAAGAAAAAAATCCTCTATAAATGCTCCCCCTGCTTCTAGTTGAAAAACCTGTTCTTTAAAGCCTCTCTTCTAAATTTCTACTAGCTTAATTAATTTTTTCTTTTTTTTTTTTTTTTTGATAAAGCCTTTCCTTTCTGTACAGTATATTGATATCTCTCTCCTCTGGTCATAGTGAGAACCTTACCAACTCTCACAGCTTCCTCCTGAGCTCCCTTGGTTTCACTGCAACCGCTTAGGATGTTTCCCAGCTCTCTCGCCCCATGACTTCCCCATGCTTGTCAATTTTCATGTCCCTGATAATCCAGACTGTGCTGGAGGTGTCATCCTCCTTCAGTGGTACGCCCATTTCCCTTTCACGCGTTTCACACATTCCTTTATCTCGTCTTGTGCTAAGTGTGAAATCAAAGATTAAATCTTGTAAGATCTTGCAAGTCCTGCTTAGGGTCCTTCTAACCTTAGTGAGGCTCTCTCGAACTGTGGGAGCTCACATCTGACTGCAAGATAGACCTCAGCAGGTAAACTTCAGGGTTAAAATCACATGCATATCATGGGAATGAATTCGGACTTGTAACCAATGGAGCAAAGTGGATGCTCCTTCTGTCTAGATGTGGATCCCTGAATTGAATTTTCACTTTTGATATTAGTATTGTTTCACTTTCTGTGTGTCTGTCAAAGCTTATTTTCTCCTCTAAAAGGAGCTTAAATAGGTAGTCAACTTTTTTCGTTTCCAGTATTTTTTTATGAAAGGTATTTTAATACTAGTGAAATGGGGAACAGTGCCATAAAATAAGTAAGTTACTCTTTTCTTTTAAAAGATAAGCATTGCCCTTATGCGGAAATAATGCAAAAACTTGATAAATTGCTCTTATTATTGTCACCAAATCTGAATGTGTGTGCATCCATTTATGTTTATAAATATATAGGGGCAGAGACCAATCCTTCTCTTAGTGAAACAGAAAGCAAGCTTCCTG